TGTCTTAAAGCTGCCTCAACATCATGTTGACCATAATGACAGTGACGCAGCAAAGCTTTCAGGACCTTCATTTGATGATGGGGCACAACTCAAAATGAGACAAAACAGCTGCAAAAACATCCATCAATAATCAGAACATGTAATCTACAAAGTATGAATTTAGGAAAATTAGAGGTTGTCAAAAAATGAAATGCAATGCCTAAAACTCAATACCCTGGAATTAGTGAGCTGAAATGGACTGGTATTGGCCATTTTGTATCAATCATATGGTTTACTATGCCAGGAACCACAAATTGAAGAGTAATGAGCGTTTCAGGATCTATCTTGAAGTACAATGCTGCCTATGACAGGATAATATCCATATGTTTACAAGGAAGAGCAATTAATACAGACATTATCCAAATTTATGCACCAATTATTACAGCTGGTGATGATGAAATTGAAGAATTCTACCAACTTCTTCAGTCTGAAATTAATCAAACATGCAATTAAGATGCATTGAGAATTACTCGTGATTGGAATGTGAAAGTTTGAAACAAAGAGAAGAGTTGAAAAGGAAAGTTGGCTGCATTCATTGGTGTTCTGGTAAATGTTTAGTTGGAAAATAGGGCCTTGGTGAGAGAGACAAAGTTGAAAATTGCATAACAGAATTCTGCAAGACCCATGATTTATTCACTGAAAATACCTTTTTTCAACAACTTGTGGACCTTGCCAGGTGAAATACATAGTTATCAAATTGACTACATCTGTGGGAAAAGACAATGGAGAAGTTCAATATCATCAACCAAAGCAAGGCCAGGGCCCGACTGTGAAACAGACCATCAATTGCTCACATGCAAATTCAGGCTGCAGCGAAAGTAAATTAAAACAAGTCCATGTGGGCCAAAATACAGCCTGGAATATGTCCCAATTTGGAGACCAGATTTGATGCATTAGGCACTAATAACTAGAGATCAGAGGAATTGTGGGGTGACATCATTAACATTATACAGGAAAAAAGCAAAAGGTCACTAAAAAAAGACAGGAAAGAAAGAAGACCAAAATGGATATCAGAAGAGACGCTGAAACTTGCTTTACAGCATAGAGATGCTAAAGCAAATGGAAGAAATGAGGAAGTAAAAGAGGTGAATAGAAAATGTCAAAGGGCAGTTTGAGAAGACAAAGTCAAATATTATAAAGAAATGTGCAAAGACCTGGAGTTAGAAAACCAAAAGGAAAGAATTTCTCAGCATTTCTTAAGCTGAAAGAACGTAAGGAAAAAAAAAAAAATCAAACCTCAACCTGCAATATTGAAGGCGTCTATGGACAAAACAGAGTCCTGGTGTGGCGCTGTGGGTTAATGCGCCAGACTGCAAAGCTGTTTGAACTGCAAGGTTGGTGGTTCAAGCTCACCAGCCGCTCCTCGGAAACCCTATGCAGGTTCGCTATGGGTCAGGATCGACTTGACGGCACTTAACAACAACAACAACAATGGACAAAACAGAGTCCTGGTATGGCGCTGTGGGTTAATACGCTGGACTGCAAAATTGGTTTGAACCCCAAGGTTGGTGGTTCAAGCTCATCAGGTGCTCCTTGGAAACCCTATACAGGGTCGCTATGGGTCAGAACCAACTCAACAGCACTTAACAACAACAACAATGGACAAAATATTGAATGATGCTAAAAGCATCAAAAGAAGATGGAAGGAATATACAGAGTCACTGAACCAAAAAAAGTGTTCAATTATTTCAAGAGGTAGCATGTGCTCAAGAACTGATAATATTTAAGGAAGATGTCCGAGTTTCACTGAAGGTAGTGGGGAAAAAAACCAAGGCTCTAGGAATTGATGAAATACAAATGGAAATGTTTTTAATGAACTGATGAAACACTGGAGGCACTCACTAGTATAAGCCAAGAAATTTGGAAAACCGTTATCTGGCCAACCAATTGGAAAGATCCTTATATGTGCCCATTACAAAGAAAAGTGGCCCAGTAGAATGTGGATATCATTGAGCAACATCATTAGTATCACATGCAAGTAAAATTTTGCTGAAGATCATTCAAAAGTCGTTGTAGCCGTTGGCTCACAGGGAGTTGCCAGGAATTCAGTCTGAATTCAGAAAGAGGATGTGGAATGAAGGATATTATTGCTGACATTATATGGATCTTGACTGAAAGCAGGGAATACCAGAAAGATGTTTACTTGTGCTTTATTGACTTTGCAAAGACATTCAACTGTGTGGATCATAACAAACTACAGATAACACTGCGAAGAATGGGAATTCCAGAACACTTAATTGTGCCTATGAGGAACCTGTACACAGACTAAAAGGCAGTCCTTTGAACAGACCAAGGGGATACTGAATGGTTTAAAATCAGGAAAGGTGAGTACCAGGGTTTAATCCTATTACCATACTTAATGCTGACACTGGAGTTAGACTCTTTAACAACCTGCAGTATGTATATGGCACAGACTTGAAATACTTACTGATGGAGATCAAAGACTATAGTCCACAGTATGGATTACACCTCCATGTAAAGAAAACAAACATCGTCACAACTGGACCAAGAAATAACAATATGATACAGGAGAAAAGATTGACGTTATCAAAGATTTCATTATACTTGGATCCATAATCAACACTCATGGAAGCAGCAGACAAGCAATCAAATGATGTATTTCATAAGGCAAATCTGCCGCAAAAGACACCTTTAAAGTGTTTAAGAACAAGATGTCACTTTGAGGACTAAGGTGGATCTACCCCAAGCCATAGTGTTTTCAATAACCTCACTCATCTTCATGTGAAAGCGGTACAATGAATAAGGAAGACCAGAGAACACTCGATACATTTAAATTATGATATTGGTGAAAAATATTGAAAGTACCATGGAATACCAGAAGAATAAACAAATCTGTTTTGGAAGAAGTATGGTCGGATTGCTCCTTGGAAGGGAAGATGGCAAGACTTCATCTCTTGTACCTTGGTCATGTTGTCAGAAGTAGTCCCTATAGAAGGACATCATAGTTGGTTAAGTGGAGGGTCAGTGAATAAGAGAAAGAACCTCAATGAGATGGATTGTCACAGTGGCAGTAACAATGGGCTCCAACGTAACAATTGTGAGAGTGTCGCTGAGCCGGACAGTGTTTCGTTCTGTTGTGCACAGGATTGCCATGAATCCGGACAGACTTAATGGCAACCAACAACAGCAACAACTAACACCTAGCAACTCCTGGTGCGGCACTGTAGGATAAGCACTGGACTGTGAACCACAAGGTTGGCAGTTCAAACCTACCAGCTGCTCCTTGAAAACCCTATGCAGAGTCGCTATGAGTCAGAACTGATTCAAAGGCAATTAATGACAACAACAAATAACCTTATGAGCAGACCTCTCTGCCTTGAACTGAACTGGCCCAGCATATCCCTTGGAAGCCTCTGTTTTGATTGGACCTTGTCTGCAGTCATCTACTGATTGAACAGACACCTTGAAAGACATTTTATTTGGAACAAACCCGTGCATATATGAATTGGCACCTTAGTAGTAATACTTTTTTACTTACCCTCACATCTTGCATAGGGTGGGACTTGATCGACTTTGTAAATTCATTCCTTCATTTCTCTCCCAAGCAATCAAATAATTGAACCCCCTGGGCCCCCAATGGGGAATAATTTCTACAGTTCAGGGCACACATGATGGATTCCCAAAGGAGACAAGGGGTGACTGGATGTGGCTGCTCCTCTGGCGGGCCCAGCCCACCGAAACAGGCTTCAACACCAGACCAGCTAATCTTAACTGCATGTCTCCACCACCGAATTGCTGCGGGATCCCTATGAAACGACTACTTGATTTGCTAGCTTCCCAGGGGTGCTGTGGGTTAAAGTACAGAAGGCACATAACTCAGTACCAGGTTCCTGATTAGAGCTCCTTAAGTCTAGGTGGGCGGGGGAGGGGAGAGGAGCAGTGGAAAGATGCCCCCCAGCCCCGCCCTCGCACGGAGCACACCACACACCATGGCTACCCGGGTGCAGGTACAGTTTATTCACAACAGAGAAATACAAACAGCAGAGGGTTTGTCATTCCTTTGTTCCTTGCCCTTTAGTGTTCCCACCCCCTTTTTAAAATATAATGCAAACTTATTTCCTGGTGTGTCTGAGGGGCACCTGCCCTCACCTCCCTGCCACCAAGATGCAGACTGAGAAGCCAACAGACTGTTTTCTCTTTTTTAATAAGGTAACTAGTTCTAAATACGGTGGCATGGAGGTCCCATAGTAAAAAGCAAAGGGGTGTTTAACAGTATGTATAACAGCGTATTTACAGGGTAAGTAACATGCGGACGAAAAGCTACAATACTGAGTTTCAGACGACGCCAAGTCAAACAAAGGGGGTCAGGTGGGAGCAGAGAACCCCATGGGAAAAGAAACCCCAGGAAACGTTAAACTGGTAAATCAATGGCGAGTTAAGGCTTAAAAAGTGTATAAAAATAACACAGTTAATATTCAAAACGGAACTCCAGATACTGAATATATAGATGAGTTTTTGTCTAGCTTTCTTTTTTTTTTTTTCCTGGGGGTGGAGGGGGAGAGTGTGGGGGGCTTCTCCGGGCTCTGTACATGGTTCCTATATACACGGACACGCATGGCTTTCAGATTGGGATGTCTGTCGGGGCGGGCGGGGGGCAGGGTCTGCTCCTGGGACCCTCCTCCCCGAGGATCCCCTTCCCTGCCGAAGGCCTAGGGCCTGGGCTTGGGATCTTCCCCTCCATGGCAGGGAAGACTAATATCCCCTCCCTGGGCACTGCTCCCATCTGGAGGAAATTCTGGAGGGAGGTTCTAGCTCCAGACCCACTCCCTCCCCGTCCCCCTGCCCACAGTCTGGGATGGCAGGAGAGGTAGCCGATAGGTTTCCTGGCCAGCACCGAGGTAGACTGGGGTGGTCTTCAGGGCACTGGGGGGCCAGGTCTCACCCAGTCCACCCCCAGCCCACTTTCCTGGGCCTGTTGCCCAGGCCAGTCCAGCCCATCACTGCACCCTTTGGTCCTGCAGATCTCCTGGCCCCTCTCTGGTTTCCGCCTCCTGAAGCCTGGGCAGCCCTGGGAGTTGCCTCGTCCCTCTGTTCAGTGATGCCCAAGGCACCGCTGGAGGGTGCCAACTGGGCACCCAGGGGTGAGGAGCTCACACCAGTTGCGTCTTGCCCCCTCCCACCTAGGGGATCCTCTGTGCAGTCCAGAAACCTGGCCTGAGCCTTCCCTCAAGACATGAGGCCGTGGCAAGAGAAGGTTCCACGCTACCATCTGGTTCTCTGTGTCTATCAGATTCTCTTAATTTCTCGGTCTTAGCAGCACCAACATCTTGGCCAATAAATATCTTTTTTCCTGCTATTTCCAAAACAAACTTAAAAACAAAAAACAAAAGAAAAAAAACAGTGAAGAAAGTGAAGGGTGGGGAACAAAAAGAAAACTCAACAGAGAGATTCAAAGTGCTCTGAGATCGTCTTTGGATGCTACCAGAACAGTCCAGAATCTTGAGGTTGGCCTGGCTGCCCCGGAGCCGGACTGGGTAGGACTTCTGTGGCCCAGGCCTCCTGAAAGGTGGGGAAGGTCGTGAGAGCTAGGCTGTTCCTGGAGGCCCCCAGAGGGAGCTGGGGCATGGTGCTGCCTGGGTGGGTCTGTGTCTGCCAGCGGGCCGAGCGGGGCGGCACCTTGGGTCGGCTCAAATGAGGGAGATTCGCACTGGGATGCCGGGGGACTCCGTCCTCTGGGGCGAGTGATGGCTCACCAGATGTTCCACCACCGTGTGTTTGGACATGTGCTTCATCAGGTAGGTCTCCTGTGGGCAAGGGAGAGATTCAGAACTTGTGGTCCTGGGTGGAACAAACTGTTTCTAGTCAGCTACTGGGGGAAAGTTGGTTGTTCAAATCCACCTAGAGGTGCCCTAGAGACAGGCCTTGAAAACTCTATGGAGTCCGTCTACCCTGCACACATGGGGTCAAAGTAAGTCGGAACTGACCGGTGCCAACTAACAACTGAAAGGTTGGCAGTTTAGGTCCACTGAAGATGGTTTCAAAGAAAGGTCTGGTGATCTATTTACATGATGACAGCCATTGGAAACCCTGTGGAATGCAGTTCTATTCTGATACATATGGGGTCTTCATGAGTCAGAATCTACTGAACCACACTGGATTTTGTTTGGTTTTTAGTCAACACATTGCAGGCTGCAGTCCCACAACTGACCACTGAAGGGAGCCATAGTAAGAGGTCCAGCAGGTGGTGGGTGGACACAGCTCTAGAGAAACGCTGGCATCAAAAATTGACTCCAAGGTTGCTGGCTCACTTTTTTGAGTCTTACGTCACAGCATGTTAACTGGAGACCTGGCACTCACCAGGATGGCCCCTCAGTGGTGCCCACCTGGGACTCTCCTGGGCCAGGTCAACAGTCATTTAAATGACCATACCAGGATGTGCTGGCTGAACTGCAGCCCTACCTGCGGATCCAAACACAGCACACACACACACACACACACACACACACACACACACACACACACACCCATCTGAATGATGTTCTCATTGAGGGCAAGGCAGTAGGCCTGGGTTTGAACTCAGTTCTACCATTTCTTAGTGGTGGTGTCTGGAACAAGTCATATACTCCTCGGCGCCTCAGTCTCCTCTGATAGTGAGGTGAAGGAACAGCCTCACAGGGTTGCGTTGTTGATGAAGATAAACCGCTTGGCATCTCATCAGGAAATCTAGTGGTGCACCAGTTAATTACTTGGCTGCTAACTGAAAGGTTAGCAGTTTGAACCCACGCAGCAGTCCAGGAGTCCTGGTGTGGCACTATAGGATAAGCACTGGACTGCTAACTGCAAGGTCGACAGGTCAAACCCACCAGCTGCTCCTCAGAAACCCTATAGACGATGCTATGAGTCGAAACCGACTCGACAGCCCTTAACAACAAAGCAACTCTGCAGGAGAAAAATCTGGCAATTTGTTTCTGTAAAGATTACAGCCCAGAAAGCCCTTTAGGGGCAGCCCAACTCTTGCCATTTGGGGTTGAAATCGACTCAACAGCACCCATTAACCATAAGAATTGAGAGGAATGACCCTTCCAGGTCTCTACATTTCATTCCAGGTGGTAGTGGAACCTCTGGCTTCTCCACTCCCTCACTAAACCCCACTTTGGGAAGCAGGTGGCCTAGTCTGCTTGGTGAGCTTGAGAAACATCAACTGAGCATGCTCAGCTCATCCCTTGAGCCCGCACAGGCTCTGCAAAGATTGACCTGAGGTGCCTGTGACAACGGCTGAGGTCAAGGTCCTTGCTTTTAGCTCTGAATTCCCACTTGGTCTTTATCAGGAACAAAGCCGAAACTCTGGGTTCCCCCACCTGCCACTCTTGGCCTCATCCCTCAATTTGCTCAGAATCTGGCAGAGGAAGCCCTCAAATATAGTGGCAACATGCTAATTTTAAACAAGAGCAGAGGGAAGTAATTAGCAAAATCCAAACGGAAAAATGACAGGGCAAACAACAGGATTTCTCCAACAAATAAATTGTAAAAAAAAAAAAAAGAGAGAGAGAGAGAGGCAGAACCAATTGATTAAAAGAGGCTTAAAAGAGATTGGATGAACCTCTAAAACTAGAAAACTAGTATGGAGATCATCTTTAAAATTCAAATAAAAAATGTTCCTTGAAATCTTTTTATAACTAAACAATAGTTTAGCTTAATAGTAAAACAAATGTCTGCCTTGAGCATTATGTTCTTTTAAGACATGTCTATATAGGATCAAATGCAACTTGAAAGATTAGATAGGAACTTCAGGGACCGTGGAGTTATGCTCATAAGGGAGGAACAACTCAGAAAAGCAGGGTGTACAACTTGAAGAGTGTCGTCAAGGTCACTGAATTGTACATGGAGAAATTGTTGAGTTGATGCATGTTTTGCTGTGTATATTCTCACCAACAACAAAGTGAAATTTTTAAAAACAGAGGTGAGCAATGTATCAACCAATTGCAACTGTATTTAGATTTTAGAGAATCAAGTTGTAAATGAGTAAAATTATAACATTCATGAGGCAAATGGAAACAGGAACACTGGGTATTTGATGATATTAAAGAGTAAAGGTGTTTCGTTCTGTTGTGCATAAGGTCACTATGAGTCAGTACTGAATCGATGGCACCTACCAATAACAACAAGGAGTTACAATGAATTCTCTTAGGTATTACCCAGGTATTGTGAATATGTATAATGAAAGGAATCCTGGTAGCATAGTTAGTGGATTATGAGCTAAACTGCTAGCCTCAAGGTCAGAAGTTTAAATCTAACCGTCACTTCACAGGAAAAAGATGAGGCACTTTGCTCCTGTAAGGATTTACAGCCTTGGAAACCCAATACAGGGGGTAGCACTATGGATTAATGCAATACACTGCAAGGTTGGCTTGAACCACAAGGTTGGTGGGTTCAAGTTCACAAGCTGCTTCTAGGAAACCCTATACAGGGTCACTATGAGTCAGAACTGATTCGACACGTAACTATAATAAAAGGAGTTCTGGTAGCGCAGTGGTTACAAATCGGGCTGCGAACCTTAAGGTCAGCGGTTTGAAACTACCAGCCGCTCCGCAGGAGAAAGATGAGGCTTTCTACTCCCGTAAAGATTTACACCCTCGGAAACCCTGTACAGGGTCGCTATGGGTCGGATCCGACTCGATGGCACTTAACAACAACAACAACAATCTTTAGAGACACACAAAAAAACTAAGATATTTTCACAAATGAAATCGTATGCTATCTGGTTTTACGTTTTAAAATTAAGAGTATGTATGGAGCTGAATTGGTGGGTTTGAGAGCTGATGAGAATGTGAAAATTCACGATTCTATTCTGTTTCTTTTACTTCCTAATGTAAAATAATGCCAACAACTGACCATTCATTCATTAAAAAATAGTGAAGTGATGTTAACTGCTCTTGTGGACAGAGGCTGGCCAGGCCCAGTTCAGAGTGGGGCCTCAGGCCAGGGGAGATCTGAACCCTCTCCCCTGAGTTTGGACAGAGTCTCCCAGTCCTAAAGCCTGCAAAGAGTCAGGGACAAGCCCAGTGTCAGCCAATCAGTAGGCGCTCGCTACCAGGCCTGTGGGCCTCCCCCACACCTCTCCGGGTCCACATCCCTGCAGGTCTGTCCTCTCAGGCTCTCACCTCCCCTCTACCCTGTTAAACTCCAGAGAAGGGCAAATGACATGTACTCGGCATTTAGTAAGCAGTAGCCTTGACTGGTGCCTGACAAGTACACCCACCACCCCACCTACAATTCACATGTCCTCTTTAGCCAGCGTGACCTTTCCCAGTGGATCCCCATTCTATCTGAAAAAGTGTCCCTCCCACCCCCCAATCAGGGCCCTGGGCTCTCTGTGACCTAGTTTCCTTAGTCCCTTCATAACCTCAAGTTCCTTCCACCTCAGGGGGTTTGCACACAGCACTTTCTGTTCTCTAGCCTTGGAGGACCTTCCCTCCTCTCATCACCTGACAATCATCCTTCCAGGCTTCTTCTCAAGGTCACGTCCTTAGATGATTTCTACCTGAACTCCCCCACCCCTGCTCTGTCTACATTTTGTCCTCCCTGCTGCTGCCGTCTTGCAAACCTTTGCCTTTCCTTTATCACAGTGGTTCTCAACTGGAGATGATTTTGTCGGCCAGGGCAATGTCTGGAGGCAATTTTAGTTGGAGCAGCTGAGAGGATTACTACTGATCTCTAGCAGGCTGAGGCCAAGGATGCTGCTAAACATCCGACAGTGCACAGGTCGGCCCCAACAACACTTAGCAACCCCAGTTGTCAGGAGTGCTGACGTAGAGAAATCCTGCTTTGTAGCAAGTACCAGTTTTTCATTACACATCCATTTCTGTGGTTACTTGCTTAATACCTGCCTTCTCCAATAGATTCTAACCTCCCTGAGGGCAAAGAATATGTCTGCTGAGTTCCTCCAGATTCACAAGTATCTGACACACATGCTCAGTAAACACTGAGTGAATAGATCATTGTAGTTGTTGTTGTTGTTGTTAAGTGCCGTTGAGTTAAGGTTAAGTTAAGGCTAATTAATCATTGGCTTTACCATCCAACAGATCTAGGATTTAAGAACTATGGTCTCCATTTTATAGATGAAGAAACTGAGGCTTGGCAACCTCTATGCTTAACCAAAACATTTGATTAAACAAAAAGTACACACACAAGTGACTCAGCTGGCTTCCTTTTTCTGGGTGCTATGGTGGTGGTGGTAGTGTGCCGTGGAGTTGGTTCCGTCTCACAGCGACCCTACATAGGGTTTCCAAGGCTGTAAATCTTTACAGGAGCAAAAAGCCTCATCTTTCTCCTGCAGAACGGCTCGTAGTTTTGAACTGCTGACCCTGAGGTTAGCAGCCTGACTCGTAACCACTACGCTACCAGAGCTCCCTTTTGGAAAATTTCCATCCAAAGGAAGGGGGCTGGAAGTGATGACCTTTCTGGTACTAACCAGGCCTCCTTAGAACTGAGGGGTGGCTCTGGGCCAAGTCACTGTGCCACCTTGTGGCCAAGATGGGAGTTGCAGCTTCACCAGCCGCAGAAAGGTCTTTCTCCCAACCCAAGTGGGCATGCTAGAGACTGGATGGAATCACGCACGCCTCAGGAACACAGCTGGTGGTAGGCAAGGAGCAGGGAGCTCAGCCAGAACTGGGAAGCAAAAGTCCTGGGTTCAAGTCCTGACTTTACCAATCGCTGTGCTCTTAAGAAGCCACCTCCCCCTACCGGGCCTCTGTTTCCTAGTCTGGAAAATGGGAAGAATCAGTACAGATCTGAGGAAGAGAAGGAAACCCAAGCCCAGGTAAAGGAGGAGTTCCGCAGGGTCGCCCGGGCAGCAGCACTCACCGAGGTGTAGGCCCGCCCACACATGCTGCAGCAGTACGCCTTGGCGTGCTTGATGGCGTGGGCTGACAGGTGGATCTGCAGGGAGGCGGAGTCTGAGTAGGCCCGGTAACAGTTGGGACACTTGTAGGGCTTGTCCTTGTTGTGCTGGCGCTGGTGAGACTGTGGGCGCAGGGGTAGGGGTCATGACACAGGCAGAGGCCCCCAGCCCCACCCCTTAGGCTCCCTGGAGTGGTGGGGGGGGTGGGGTGGGGTAAAGCTGTGCACCAGGTGGGCGGGAGGCAAGTAGCACTACTTACCTGGAGGTTGGAGAGCTGAGTGAAAGCCTTTTCGCAGCCAGGATGTGGGCACTTGTAAGGTCTGTCACCTGTGTGGATTCTGCAACAGGCAGCCCAGTGAGGCGCAGCGGCCTGGGTCAGCGCCAGTCCCCAAGCCTCCCAGTCTTCACCCATACCTTCTCTCCCGCGGCCAAGAGTGAGCCCTGGGCAAGGGCTGAAACATCACCAGAGACCACTGACCCATCTCTACAGTAGAGACCGGCTCTTCCTGTAGCCAGAGCTATCTCCATTCCTTCTGCCCTCATTCTCCTCCAAGGATGGGGGTTCATTCAGGGTCCTCTCTTCACACTGCTTTTCCTCTCCCCTTACCCCTGAGCTCCAGTCCCATGGCCTTCGAGCGGCTCCTCTAGCATTCTCAACTCTTCCCCACGTCAAGTCCTCCCTCTAGGCTGTTCCCTCTACCAAGAACACGCTCAAAGCTAAACCAGTTACCACTGAATGGATGCAGACTCATGGCCACCATGTGTGTGTCACAGTAGAACTGTACTCCACAGTCTTCAATGGCTAATTTGTGGAAGAAGAGTCCCAAGCCTTTTTCCAAGACAGACAGCTTCCTGTCTTAGCATAAAAGCTCCTTCATTGAGGCAGCCTTCCCCGCCTCCCCAGACAGGGCCAGCCCCTACCACCTGACCCCCAAGCACCACCCACATGCCCCTCCCAGAAGCCTGTGCACTAGTACTTATTTCCTCAGTGTCTGATCACTGGTTGGTTTTTGTTTTGTGTGTTTTCTGGCTACCTCCTTGAGGGCAAAGATTCCTTTGGTCTCATTTACCACCACCCAGTGCTTGACACAGAGTCGGCATAGAGAGAATTCCATAACAAGTTGATGAGTGAATGAAGGTAAGGCAGCATTTTGCTCTCTGGAGTCAGTCCTTGACAATACTTAAATGCTCAGCATCATCAATAATTTCCATCCCTAGCAATTAGTCCAAAAGACTAATGGACCACCCCAGCCTCTACAACCCCGAGACCAGAACTAGATGGAACCAAGCTACGCCTGCTGTCCTGGATAGAGTGGGACAAAAATGTGGATGAAAACTCAAAATCATAAAAATGACCAGGCTTATTAATCTGATTTACTGTTATTAAGTGTTGTCTAATCCCTTCTGACCTGTAGCGACCCAATATAGGGTTTCCAAGGAGCGGCTGGTGGGTCTGAACCACAGACCTTGTGGTTAGTAGTCCAGTGCTTATCCTACAGTGCCATACCAAGACCCCATTGGTCTGACAGACTGGTGAAAATCCCCTTTGACTATGGCCCTTAAACACACTTCAAGCCTAGAACTGAACTCTCCTCATGGCTCACCTTTTAGCTATAAGATAAGACAGGCCCTAGACGGGGAAGAACATCAGGACAGACGTACTCCTCAGAACCACCAGCCATACAAGATCAAAAGAGCCCAGAGATAAAGTTCAGACGGCAAGATGAGACTGAAAAGGAGGATGATGGGAAACAGTAAAGACAGGGAGGAAGTGGTATACAACAACAGTACATTGTGAGGACTGCAATCAATGTCATGAAACAAAAAGCTGAATGAAAGACCATTTTGCTCTGTAAACTTTCACCTAAATCACAATAAACCGTATTTAAAAACAAAGCAAAACAGAACAGACTTCTATCCCTGAAGTATATATACAAAGGAGCTTCAAAAAGTTCATGGAAATTTAAAATTATCTTTTAATTCCATTTTTTCCATGACCTTTCTGAAACCCCTCCCCCCTTTTTCAGGAGGGTTTGTTGAGTGACTGACTTGACTGACCAGCCCAGCCCTTGTGACCAGGAAACTGCCCTTCTGGCCTCCTCCTGTCCCAACATAACTGCCTGGCCTCCCAGTCAGCTTGGGGCCTTGTTAAGTTCTGCTTTGCAACCTCCACCAGCTCCCTCTGTTTCCAGGGCAGAGTACAGACCCTGTGCCTAGCATTCAAGCCCTTTACAATCTGGCCTCAGATTCTATAGCTCCCTCCTCTGCCAATACTACCCACAGCTGAGCATCAGACCAACCTTCCCCCCAACACAAGCTGACATGTTCCCAACAAGCCTGAGCCTTTGGTTCCACAGCTCCTTCTGCCGGAACACCCTCCTCCCTCCCTAACTGTGAGGGCTTCTGGCTCCTTCAACACCTGCCCCATTCACTCCTCCTCTCCCCGCTCCACCCAACTGCACTTCACATCCACCAGTCTCCCAGGCCACCTGTTCCCAGGATACTGCAGACCTGGCCCCAAAGCTCTCATCTTCAGTCCCTGAGTTCCACATCAAGTTGGAGTCCTCCACTCTGACGTCACAATCCTCCCACAAGCCCAGCTCTGGCTCTCACATCTGCGGTGTAACAGGGAACTCACTACTGATTTCACACCGCTGTTCCTCTGCAGGTAAATCAGGAAAGCTGAGCTGAAATTGGTGTCCCTAGGATGTCTCCTCCCACACTGCCTCAGCCCCACACTAGAGGACCCCAAGATTCAGTTGCTCTGCTCTCTGCTAGACACCTCCATCCCTATATGACCTTTTCTTCTGCTACTTAGCAGTCCCAGTGCCTGCCTTCTACCTGCAGCATGGGCTAGACTTGAATTTCACTCTGCCACCTCTTAGCCTTGTGACTGTCCTCCCTGGACTCCACTCTTCTCACATCTATAACGGGGGTTATAACAATGATTATAAGGAGTTAAGTGATTCTGTATTAGTCATCAAATGCAGAGAAATAAGCAGATTCCAGATTCCTTGACTCCTGTCCTTCCGCAGAGGTCCATTCCTGTTGTTCATTCCTCAGCAGAGAACCAGACAATCAGACCATATAGTCCAATCCATCTTCCCAATGGATGGTTGCAGTGCAGTAAATTACTTCATATGGCTCTTTCACTCATAATCTTTGTTAACTCTCACCAAACAATACTTTTGCCCTGATGGGTCTGGGTAAGAAAAGGTTGGAGAAGATGCTGATAAGATGATATGATTCCATTGTGAGTGTTTAATAGAGTTCATTGTGATTGCAAAAACCTGGAACTGTAACCTGCACTTTAAAATGAGCTATATCTCAGAAGCAGGAGGGGATCTCACGCCTATCAAATCAGAAGAGCCAGGAGTCGAGTACATCCATTGGACCCAGAGATCCCTGTGCATTGAACCCCCTCGACCCAGGGACAGAAAGCTGTGACACCAAAGGAATAACAGAAGAGCAGCAGCCCCGCAGAACCAAGAGCCAGAGCACTGGAGCGAGCAATGAGTTTCCCAGCCCATGGAGCAAGTAAGGAGGGTGACTTCAGGCAGGAAGCTTGCTTCTAGAGTGGGATACCTCCAGACACTTCAGTGGGGGAGCTAGGTTTGCTGACCCACAGAGTTAAAGCCTTCAGGCTGATGGCGGAGTGGTGTGTCCTGTGGGCATTTATCAGCAACCCTAGAAGTGTTTTGTTAATGTTACCCTGGCAGAGAGAGGCCTGTCTGTGGGCATGGTTGAGGAGACACTATCCTGACTGGAACAACTGTGCCTTGTGCATTTTCTGACCCTGCATTATAACCAGCTAACTTCCCTAATAAAGCCCCTAACTGGGAGTGTGGGGTCTGAGTTCTGTGTGGCCATAGCAATGAACTTTAGAACCTAGATGAGAAGGGGTGAGGGTTAGGGAATGAATGGTTAGGTGCTCATTTTTTTTTGCAATGATGTTGATGTTCAAAAATATATTTTTACAATGTTTTTAAAACATGCAATTCTACTTAAGATAAACAATTTACAAAAAACAAAGAGGAATTTTTTTTTCAATGTGTTAATAAGCTTATTAAGAATTCATTAGCTATTATTTTTCTTTTATTTCCCAGGAAATAAACCGTACCTTATACTGAATGTCTTCAGCCATGTTGTGCTTTGTAACACAAACAATGGCAGACAGACGGAAGATTAACATTCTTTGAGATGATTCCTTCTCTGTGGTACTTTTTTTTTACAGGTTTTTTTTTATCTCTTATGTAGAAATCAAAATTCACACTGTACAGGGATCTTAGGGACACCTTGTCTATAAAAGCACTGTATCGAGAGTCAGGCATAAAGTACGTTTTTGACAAGGAATAGTTGTTATTGTTGTTGTTGTTATTACTATTACTGTCAGACCTGAGAGAACAAAGTGACACTTTTCACTGCACAGTTATCATTGTTACTGTTGTCCAGTGGCATTGACTCTGTCCCAATTCATAGCGACCCTGTACAGGGTTTCCGAGGAGCAGCTGGTGGGCTTGAACTGCTGACCTTGTGGCTAGCAGTCCAGTGCTTATTCCACAGTGTCACACCAATGAGAAAAAGAAAACCAGAAACAAAACACCACTTTGCATCCAGAACAAACAGCAAAGCAAGCCAATCCTCAGTCTCTCTAACTAGCACTAGTTCCCCAAATGCATAAAACTTGGAGGACCTGCCTATAAGTTGCTAACTCCCTCACAAAATAAAGCAACTTTGCCTTTTGCAATATGGCATCTGCAGATATGGAGGCCTTTATACAGATGCTAGTCCAATGGCATGGCAACTCTTCCACCAGGAAAGCACCGACAATAAACTTTCCTCCTTAAACCTGTGGCATTTGTTATTTCGCATTTCTGGTAACACAAAGCAAGTTACCTACATTTCATTACTTAAAGAGTCTTCTTTTCATGGCTGGAGGGCCCATCGAGATGCTCGGTTTTTACCTGACCCACTGAAGTGCACCCAGGCACACCTCTCCGGGCTCCCAGGGGGAATCTTGCCTACCCTGCTTCGAACTCTATTTTCTAGTACTTGACCAAAACTGGTTCTGTTTGGATATACCTTACTTTGATCCCTTTGTTAGTTAGTGGCAGTAGCCATGGGAAGATGGATTGGATTATACGAGCTGACTGGTTCTCTGTTTATGGACAAACAACAGGAAGAGTCTGTTGAATGGCACGAGTCAAGGTATCTGTATCTGTTTGTTTCTTTATGTTTGGCTTTTTTTGTTTTTGTTTAAACAACACTATGACTTGCAGGCATTTGTGTTACTGCCACTGAGTCAAAATGTATCAGTTTAATTACATATGTCACTACC